GTGATCTCCATTTCTGTGGTTCTGCTGCTGATAAAGCTATCCTTTTAGTTTGCTTTTGTTTTAGGTGTGGTTCTTAATAAATGTGAGTTTGCTGTCCTTTCACTGTTCATATTTTTTATCTTCTTTTTCTTAGATAAGTCTCTTTAACATTTCATATAATAAAGGCTTGGTGATGATGAACTCCTTGAACTTGACCTTATCTGAGAAGCACTTTATCTGCTCTTCCATTCTAAATGAAAGCTTTCCTGGATAGATCAATCTTGGATGTAGGTCTTTGGATTTCATGACTGGAGTACTTTTCCAGCCCCTTCTTGCCTGTAAGGTCTCTTTTGAGAAATCCGCTGACAGTCTGATAGGGACTCCTTTGTAGGTGACTGTCCCCTTAGCTCTTGCTGCTTCTAGGATTCTCTCCTTCATTTTAATCTTGGGTAATGTTAATGATGATGTGCCTTGCTGTGTTTCTTCTTGAGTCCAACTTCTTTGGGACTCTCTGGGCTTCCTGGACTTCCTGGAAGTCTATTTTCTTGGCCAGATTGGAGAAGTTCTGCTTCATTATTTGTTCAGATAAGTTTTCCACTTGTTGCTCTTCCTCTTCCTCTTCTGGTGCCCCTATAATTTGGATGTTGGAAGGTTTGAAGATGTCCTGGAGGTTCCTAAGGCTCTCCTCATTTTTTTTTAAATTCTAGTTTCTTCATTCTTTTCTATTTGGTAATTTCTTTCTTCCTTCTGGTCCACTCCATTGATTTTAGTCCCAGTTTTGTTTCCATCACTCTTGGTTCCCTGTGCAATTTGCTTCATTTCACTTAATATAGCCTTCATTTTTTCATCTAATTTGTGACCAAAATCAACCAGTTCTGTGAGCATTCTTATCACCAGTCTTTTGAACTGTACATCTGATAGGTTGGTATCTCTTGGTCACTTAGAAGTATTGGCTCTGGGGCTTTGAACTGTTCTTCTGCTTGAGCCATAATGTGTTGGTCTGTTTGTGCCTGTTACGTATGAGGGGAGAAAGCTTATGTGTTCATGGGGGCAGGTCAGCCCAGTCGCCGGGTTGTGACCGGCGGCAGGGTCAGAGGGGAGCAGTGGCATTTGTTCTGCTGTCTCTTGGATTTCGGTCCCCTCTGCCAATTCCTCCAAGCAAATTGGGCCCTCCTGGTGCTGGTTCCTGGGTGTGTGGGCTTCTGTACTGTCTAGGACCCTGTGGGTCTCTCCAGCAAACTCTCCTGTGAGGCTGGGAGCCTCTCTCATAACCTCATCCACTGAAAGGTTTTCCAGTTCGTGCTTTTAGACTTTAATTCCCGTCACTAGGGCCCTGGGTTATGTGGTCTGTTTCACAGCTCGTTTTTTTGCCTGGTTTATTAATCTGGATGAATGGTTCATTTTTGTTGGACTTTGGTACAGTTCAGTTTTCTGTTTTCATTGTCTTTTTGTTTTTAAATCTTTGTTGTCCTTAAACTTGGTTGTGCAAGGAGGTACAGTGTTTCCATCTACCCTTCCATCTTGGCTGGAAGTCCATGATCCGAGATTTTTAAGTAACAACTAAATAGTACATGTCAATTCACATTCTTGTCCTCACACCCAACCCTAAACCCAGGAGTTCTCAGAAAAGAGAAATTCTGTACAGGGTGGAGGTGCTCTGTGGCTCCTGCCATAAAAGGCTGTGCCTAGGTTCCCAAGGGACCAACTGACTGGGAATCCAGGGCACAGGGTCATGCAGGAACCCTCCTGAGTCTGGCCCCATCTGAAACACCCCAGCACATTCCCATCTCCCCCCTGCCCAGCCCAGGCAGGAGGGGCAGCTCAGGACCAGGCAGGCTCAGCACAGTCCCACCCAGGGCACTGCACACCCTTACTCCCAGTCCCTCCTGGGCTGACCCCTCCTGGTTCTGCCCTGAGAGTGGACCTGAGGGATCCCTCACCTGGCTGGTCTGAGCTCCACAGCTCTGTGCAGGGACAGTTCAGGCAGGGTGGCTCCTGACCCCAGTCACAGGGACAGAGTGACTGGTTCTGACCTCCCCACAGAGATGCCACTGTCATGTCACCTCTCCTGTCAGTGACACCATCTGTGTGGGGAACCTGGGGTGTCTCTAAGTTAGAGCAAAATTGTCCCATGCAGATCACCCTCAGACACACCTGGTGACTAGGGACAGTGGTGGCCATTACTGAGATGCCCTCAGGAGCAGCAGGAGGAGGCAGAGAAAGTATCCCCTGTTCCGGGGGACAAGCTGAGCTTAGAGTCACATGTCACTGGAATGCAGGGACATCTGTGGCAGGAGCTCTCTTCACAGTGTTTCTCGCTGGGCCTGTTCCTTCAGCTCCTTCTCTTGTCCAAACTCTGTCCCCAGGTTCCTCACATTGGTTAACTTAGCACTTTTTTTTACTTAAAACAATTATTTCATTTTTGCTTTATTTCTTTCCATCACCATTTATCTTCTCCCCACATCCCACATCTTACCCCATGCCTCATGCAATTTCCACACTGTTGTCTGTGTCCATGAGTTAATTTTAAAAGTTTTTTCAACTACACTTAACATACAATATTGTATTGCTTTCAGCTGTAAAACAGAAAGATTAAACATATATATCTTATTAAATAATCTCCCCATTATATTTAGTACCCATTTCACACCATACATAGTCACGACAATATTACTGTCCCCCTGCTGTACTCTACACCCTACTCATAAGTGTCCAGGGCTGACATGGGACAAGCACCATATTTTTGCTGACTTGGGTAGAAGTTATGAGAGGGACTAAGGAGGGTGACTGTAGAAGTGGTGAAGGGCACAGCAGGACAATCTCAGAACATCTCTCTGTAAATTACTAATGAATGACAGTCACTAAATGGTGAATGTATGATGGGGAGATCTGACTGTCACCAACCTGGGTGAGTCGCCAAGATGAATGTCCCCACTGTGGAACAGGGAGATATAGTATCCAGTCTTTGTTCCTTCTTCTTACACAGTCATTGTTTTCTTGGTGGCCTCATCCACACTCACAGATTTAAATGTCATTCTCGTAGCATCACCTCCAAGTCTATGTCTCCTGCCCCAACATTTCTCCTCGAGGTCCCCACACTCATCTGTCCAACCTGACTCCTCACTGGTGTTTCTAACACACATCTAACCTTGACCTTCTCTTCAGCTGAACCCTTGAAATGCCCACCCCTCCCCAACACATACTCCTGCCAGAGTCTTCCCCATCTCTGCTGATATAACCCCATCTTTCTGCTGGCACAGTACAAATGTGGGGTGTCCTCCTTGACTTCTTTCCCACACCCCAGATTGAATCACTAGGAAATGCTGGGAAATCCATCTTCCAAATGCATTCAGTGTCCAGTCCCTTCCCACTGTTTCCACCACTCACAGCCCCATCAGAACACCCAGCACCTGCAGCCTGGAACCCTGGGAGCTTCCCACACCTTTCCCTCCTGCCTCACTGGTCCCTGGACTCCTGATTCTGTTCTCAGTCCAGCAGCCAGACTGACCCTGTGGCCTGAGAGCTCTCTCTCTGGAGGACAAACTCTCAGAGATGACACTAAGGACATGGGCTCCTTGGCCATGACCTTCCAGGACTCAGCATCCACAGATTGAGAGCTGGGTATGCAGTGGATTAAGGACAGTGGACGCTAGAATAGCTCCTGCTTTAAGTAGGTGTTCTCAGCTTCTGATTGGTCAGCTCTCTGAATCCCCACATGGACACCCCTGAGGTCTACATGAGGGAGGCCTGGAAGTTTGGGGTGAGTCCTAGGCAACAAAGCAACACAGTGTTAGAATCAGGGGACTCCACCAGCCACAGCCAGAGGCTCTAAAAGGTCACATCAGATGTGCAGGAAGACCCTGAATAGTGCATGGAGCACAGGTGGTCACAGGGAACATCACCGGGGAGCTGTGAGGTCCCCTTGTCATGTGACACAGAATCTGTCCCACCTTGGTTGTCTCCATTTTTCAAGGTAAGTTTATTAAGTTAAAATGACTTGAAATGGCTTAATATATAGTGAAGGTGTAGATAGAGTAACACTTACTGGTAACTGCTTTCCTTGGAGCTTTTAATCTAAATCACTTCTGATATATATATATATATATATATATATATATATATATATATATTGTGTGTGTAATTTTAAAATAAACATTTCTGTAACAAATAAAATTAAATGAAAGGGCAGTCCTACTCCATCTGTCATCTGTCTTTCCTTGGAACTGTCTCTTCCAACCTCCCCCAGGTCTGCACGTTGGGGCCAGAACCTGACCCCTCCCAATGACTCTGCTGCAGCCACACTGGCCTCCTGGATGTTCCCAAACCACACAGAGGCTCCCTCCCCAGGGTGTCTGCGTGGGAGGCTCGCTGACTGGAAGGAGTCTGGCCCAGACATGTTCTTGGGTAATGGCTCAAGTCCTTCTCCTCTCTCCTCCAAGGCCACCTTCTCCTGAGGCCCACGCTGGCCCCCCGAATTCTAACAGGCCTCCTGCCTCTCCTAACACACCCAGTGCGTCCCCTTCTCCACAGCACCTCCCACATTCTCACAGGAACTCTTTCCTCACTGACTGTGGTCACAGGGCATGGTGTGTCCCTTTGCCACACAACAGGTGCTCCATAAGGCTGGCCTGTGCTTGGCCTGTGCTCGGTTCACTGACGTACAGGTAAGCAGCTGCTACTGCCGTCACAGAGACTGCACTTTTAATTTTAGTTCTCACCCAGGATTGTTGCTACTGATTTTACAGAGGAGAAAGCAGAGAGTGAGAGAGACAAACATTCACTGGTTGTCTCCTGTATCAGGCCTGAGCGGAAATTCAACCCCAGCTGGGTATGTGCCCTTAATGGAGATCCAACCCGTAACCTTGTGGTGTGTGGGGTGACTCTCCAACCGAACCCCCCACCCAGGCTGTGTTTGTTTTACAACTGAAGGTAAGATTTCCCACCAGCAAAAGCATTACACCTCACTAAAGGGTCAGATGATTGCATTTTGATTAACAAAGTATATTTTAATAAAGGCATGTACATTAATTTTTAGACATAATACTATTTAAGATTTAGTAGACTACATGTATCATAAGCCTAACACGATTAGCTCAGGGAAACCAAAACATCTGTGTGACTTGCTTTATTGCGATAGTTGCTTTACTGAGTTCATCTGGACGCAAAACCAAAATACCTCCAAGGAATGTCTGGATCCCAGATGTAAAAATGGAGCGTCATTTACCCAGGACTCAAACACCACTGGTTGAGTGACTCCTCATTGTACAATATCATAGAAATATACAAGGGAAACCTACATGATCCCAGTAACCAATGCCAGCCTAATACACTTAGTAAAAAAAAACCTCTAATAAGTTAATTAAGAAAAGAAAAGTAGGTACAATATCTACAAAAACAAAGAAACAACAAATACCCAAAACACAGGGGCTGTGGGCCAGACCCAGGTTGGGCCCAGGCTCATGTGTCCACAGGAAGCCCTCACTGAGCACAGTCCTGGAGCCACGACAAGGCCCGGGTGACACTCACGTCCCTGTGAAACCAGGTCCTGGTGGGACAAGGTTCCCCTGAAGCAAAAAACAACAAAGGAGCAACAAGGAGACCCCACTGAGAAAAGACCAGGATGGGTTGGCAAAACCACAGCAATGCTACAACAGGTCAGTCCCCAGGGGAGAGGACACATGTCCCTTTAGGAGGGGAGGGGACCTTGTGGCCAGCTCCTCCAATAAAGCTGATAAGGATGCAGACACATTCTGTGCAGGTTGCAGAAACAGCAGTCATGGAATTCTTAAAGTCCCAAGGGGAGGCTGCAGTGATTATTTTAGTGCCAAGTCTCCTACATGGCAGCTTTGTCACACTGGGAAAGAAAGTTAATGTGAACAAATTCAGGTTAGTCTCAGAAGTGTCACATTCTCCCACAGCCACCACATGCTCAGAATGTTCCACTCTGAGAATCCCCAAAACCCAGCTACAACCTTGGTTCCAATGTCCCCCACTTCCTCCCCTCAGGGTTTCATAGTTAGGAGCTGTGAGAGCCACCCCAGAGCCCTGGGCACTGTCACTGTCTGGGGAAGACACACAACAGAGTTAAGGGGTGGGGGAGCCCCCCTCACAGACTCCAGGCAACACTCTCCCAAGGGTCCCAGATGTCACCTTCCCAACACCCAGACTTACAGGCAGCCTGAGAGTAGCTCTTCCTGCCTCTACCTGTGGGAAGAAAATGTTCTGTGAGAAGTCAGGGGGAGGCTGGGTCCTGTGACCCTAAAGGAGCCTCACACTCCTGAAGCACAGGGAGGGTTCCAGAACTGTGACTGAACACTAGGGTAGGATCAGGAAATTCAGAGACAGTGCATGTTACTGGGACTGGATGTACACCCCTGTGATGTCTGTCCTTAGCAGGGACCTTCGCCTCTGACCTGTGACAGCTGGGAATCAGTCTCAATCACTAGAGTCATTGGGTGATAAAACTGTCTTTCCCATGAGCCTCACTAAAGACTCAGTGTTAGGAAATAGGCCCCAGATGGACAAGCACCCGTGTGGGAACACCATGACCATTAACCAGGCAGAACACAGTTCCACCTGGGCTTGACCCCCAGGGGGACAGGGAACTCAGCCCCACCCCTTGCCCACCTGAGCACTTCCTCCTCCACATCACAGCTCCAGCAGCCACAGCTCCAAGGAGACCCAGGGCAGCAGCAATGCCCACAATGGTGATGGTGGTCTGAGAAGGGGGGTCTGCAAAGGGAAGGTGAGAGGTCATCCTGAGGCCTGAGTCCTGACCCTGCTCAGGGACACCCTCAGGAGAGAGAGGCTCTGCGCCCACGCCCCCTCCTCACCCCATCTCAGGGTCAGGGGCTCAGGCAGCCCCTGGTGCTGCACATGGCATGTGTATCTCTGCTCCTCTCCAGGGGGCACGGCCACAGCTGCCCACTTCTGGAAGGTCCCGTCCCCTGCAGGCCTGGTCTCCACAAGCTCCATGTCCTGGGTCAGGTCCTCCCCTTCACGCTGCCAGGTCAGGGTGATGTCAGCAGGGTAGAAGCCCAGGGCCCAGCACTTCAGGGTGGCCTCATGGTCAGAGATGGGGTGGTGGGTCACGTGTGTCTTTGGAGGGTCTGAGGGTAGGGTGAGAAAATTCGGGAACTTTGCATGTTCATGGGACACTCCAGTAGTGCCCATGTGACCACCCTGAGAGTAGACAGGATAGCAGGGTGGGGGAGAGCAATATCCAGTCACCAGCCTGGAAAGAGACACCTGGGATAATTTCCTATTTATTGGAAAGTTCCAGAATCAGATTGAGAACCTAGGGTAGGAGTGTCCAGGTCTCTAAGGGGAGACACAGACTCAGGAGGAGGCTGATGACTCAGCAAACCTGGAGTCAGGTCTCCAGAGAAGGTCTCAGCCCCAGACCCAGGGAGAGAGTCCTGGTGCCCCAGGTGCTGCAGGGTGTGAGGGACCCGCTGTGGGTGTTTCAGGGAGAGGCTGAGTCCCTTACTGTCCTTTAGAGAAAGGTGGGCCCGCGGGTGAGTCACAAAATAAGGAAACCTGGGGGACCCTCCCCTCTCCTGACCAGGAGCAGGATTCTATCACTGCCCCATCTTCCTCCTCTTGTAGGAATCTGCCTCAACCCACAGATCCCCTCCTCGGGGACACCGTGGCCCTGGTACCTGCTGTTTGCAGCTTGTCCTTCCCCATCTCCAGGTACAGGCGGAGCCAGCGCACACACTTGAGCTCCAGGTGGGCCCTCCAGTGCTCCACATTATCTTGATGCAACAAATCACGCGGAATGGTGATCTGGGAGGTCTTGTTGGCTTCGTTGGTGGAACTCAGCTCCAAGTTCATGGCGAAGGTTTCGGTGCCATCGTATGCGGTGTGACTGTATGCGCTGAAGAAGCCCAGGTCCAACCCCACAACACAGCCGTAAGTAACCTGAAAGGTGTGAGACCCTGACGGAGCCCTAAAGTCAGCCCTGCACCCGGCCAGTGGAGACCCGACCTGTCCTGCGGGGATTAAACGCAAACTGAGTGAAAATAAGACTGGGTTAGGATCCCCCCGGGTTGGGCGCAGGGCGGATCCCGCAGCCCTGGGGGGACGTTCTGACCCACAGATTCCGGGAGACTCCTGCCCCTCAGTGGGGATGGGGGTTGTGCCCGGATCCCGGCGCGCGTGGCTCACCGTCCTCGCTCTGGTTGTAGTAGGCTCGCAGGTTGTTCAGTTTTGCTCGGGAAAGCTGTGCGCACTGCTTGCAGGTCCGCGTCTGCTCCTCCCAAAACTCTGGATCCTCCTGCTGCACCCACGGCTGCTCCATCCAAGGCACCCGCGGCTGCGCCGTCGGGTTCGTCGGGTTCGTCGGGTTCGGGTCTTCGCTATCGAACCACATGACCTCCGTGTCGTCAACGTAGCCGACCTTGATGTACTGGGACTTCCCAGGTCTGGACATTAAGGTGCCGAAATGTCTCAGCGTGTGTGGGCCTGGGGACAGGGAGGACCGACGTCTTGAGTTTGAGGTGGGGGCGGTAGCGGCTGAGCTACCGGGAAACAGCTAAGAATTCGGTGGTTGAGAATGTGGGTGGGGGCTGGAGGAGGGGAGGGTACAGGTGGGGGTCCTGGGTCCGGGGTCCGGGGTCTGGGGTTTGGGGACGAGCATCCACGTCCCCGGGTTCTGCACCCCCGCCGGGTTCCCTCCCTCCCGCCCCGCACAGGCAGTTCCCTCCCGACCCCGCACTCACCGGCCCAGGTCTCGGTCAGGGCCAGGGCCCCTGAGAGCAGCAGGAGCAGAAGTCGGAGCCCCATGACCCAAACCCTGATCGTTTGGGGTGAAGGACCCGCGTACTACGGAAGGACTTTATACTTCAAACCACGGTGACGCTGATTGGCTCGTGTCGAGTTGGGGCACACAAACCAAAATCGCAGCAGAACGTCAGGAGTATCCAGGCAGAAGGACCCGTGACGAGAAGGGAAACCCGGGAGAGAAGGGCGCACCCCATCCCTGAGAGTCCCCGCCCCAGACTCGGTCCTCTGGCTGAGACCCTGGGAGCCAGGCCTGGGGACCCAGGACTGTGCTCAGACCCCTCCTCCTGCACGGAGAGCTCTGCCCCACCCCCGTCTCCCTGCATCCCTCTGGCTGTTCTATTCAGCGACTCTCAAACAATTTGGTGTCAGAACATCTATACAGTTTTACAAAAATGGCAGGTCCCAAAAATAATTTTGCTTATGTGAGTTATAGCTATCAATATTTACCATGGAAGAAATAAAACAGTTTGAAATGATTAATTTATTTGGAATAATATTAATAACCAATGGTATGTTAAGGCAAATAATGTTTTTATGAAAAGTAAGTATTCCGAAAATAAGTGAGGTAGTGAGAGGAGCAGAACTGCTTAAGTTTTACTTTTTTACAAGTCTCAGTGCCTGTCTGTGTAAGTAGAAGTTGGCTGAAATTTCATATTTGCTTCTGTGTTTAATCTGGTATACTGGTTTCAGTATATGAATAAACATACAGCCTCACAGAAATATGGAGGAAGAACATTTTAAAAACCTTTTCAGATAAGTGTGGGTATTCATCGTTGATTGTTGACTAAAGCTACACAAGTGGTAGATTCCAAAAAGCTCTTTGCAAAGGGGAACCTGAAACTACACCATTGAGTGTTTCCTACTCTGTTACGTTACTTCAGTGACTCTTGTACTGATACAGGGCTGTTTGAAAGTGATGCCTTGTTTCACTAATGATAGAGATCTCCCAGTGTTGGTGCATTTAATGACACATCATTAAAAAGCACACTTGTTAATGTCACCGCAGACCACACTGGAAATGGTCATCAGCTCTGGGAAGCTGTCTGGCTGCTGTGGGGAGACACCCGTTTGCAAAACCCTGGGTTTCCTCTGAAAGCTTCCATTCCATCCAGACAGCAAGTGCTGTCAGGTGTCCACTGCCCATTGACTTTCCTTGAGGGGGAAGCTCATGTTCATTTGAGAGAGTGTTCACCAGTTCACCACACCTCAGTCATCACAGATTCTGTGTCTCTCATTCTCTTAAGTGAACTTGCTGTTCCTTAAAGAAGAGGCCAACTCAGCCCTCACAGGTCACTTTCCTGGGCTCATGACACTTGGGAATGTAGCAGAAGTGTTTGTTCACTTTCCTGGTCATCACAGCAGATATTTTATTTTTTAACTCTCCATTTTCATTAAGGACAGTTAAGAAATTAATCCATTTGCATCATGAATTCAAGACATACTTATTTTGTTAAATTTTTTATTTTTCAGTTACAGTTGATGACTCATATTATATTAGTTTCTATACAACTGTGCTGCCTTCATGTGTCTATGAGGGTCTTAGATACATCCTTAAAATACAGCATACCCAAGAAAGATTAGTTAACATCCACTGAACAACTAGAGGGTGTAGACATCAACAACAATGTGATGTAAGGCCTTAAGGTTGTGAATGATCAAAAATGCTCCTCACTGGAGTCGGTCCTTCTGCACATCACATTGGAACCCTTGGTGTCGTTTTTGTTAACCTGGAGGCATCAGCAGGCACGTAAATCTTTATTAATTCAAGAAATAAATATGTATTAAGCACAACATATACCAAATATCTGTAGGCCTCGTACATAATTAAAAAGTCGTAAAGAAGAAGGTGTAAACTTTGGAGTTCCAACTTAGATTCCTTACCAATTTGTCTTCCTTCTATTTTCCCCCAGAATTCAAGCAGTTCTGTTTCCCTTCATCCTTGGATGCCTGTGCACTAGATGAAAATATATATGAGAATTTTACAATTGCGGAATGAAAAATTCTTTAAGATCAAAAGATGAAAAATTATGAGGGAAAACCCAGAACTCCTCTGTGTCAACCACAGCCTCCATAAATAGAAACTCATGCCCACAGCCAAACACAAAGAGACATAAAAATGTTGACAGAGGAAGGAAACATGTGTCCGTGTTCTTCCACCAAAGACCCTGAGCAGCGCCTGGGGCAGACAGCGGGCTGTGTGGGTGGCTGCTGCAGGGGGAGCGCACCCGCAGGTCATAGGCACCTTTGAGGGCCATGGTGAGACACGGTGTGCCCAGGACCTGGGCTCTGGATGGCGATTTCAGGAGGATCAGTGGGTGCAGAGGCCTCTCTAGATTGGTGTCCTGAAGACGTGGGGACAAGTCTCTGACTGGACATCTCAGGAAATACCACGGGATGCAGCAGAAGGGAGCAAGGGTGAGGGGTGATAGGAAAGATGCTGCCTTCTCTTCTGTTCCCGGCCCAGGAGCTGCTTGGAAGTGTGTGAGCTGTACCGGGTCTCTTTTCTGTCTGTGCTGAGACTACACGCAGTGTGGTGTTGGTCTGTCTCACGCGGCTGTGGTCTCAGGGATGTCCTTGTCTGATGCTGATGTTCTGTGAGAGCACGTGTGTCCAACCAGAGAATAACCCGGCCTAGGAGTGAGCAGCCAGTCTGCTTTGGGCAACAGGGGGCTTCGCTGTAAGCTCCAGACCCCTCCTGATGTTCCGGCTGCTTTTCATTCCTTCTGAAATTCAATATTTAAAAATATTTACTACTCAATCAAAACATAAGGAATATTAAGAAACAATTTGGAAAAGAAGAAATGCAAATATCAAACAACTATATTTGTAATAAGTACATGTAAACAAAAATGAGAATGTGGATTAAGAAAAATAGGAATAAAAATTAAAATCTATCAGTTTGGCAAAGATGAAAGAATGTGATGAGCATTTCAGTCCAAGGGTGGGGACCACATTCTGTTGTGGAGGTTGAAGGAACTGAAAACCAGGACAAAACTCCTGAAGGATGCTTTTGTAAAAGGTCTCAGCAATTTACATATTGACACAAAAATTTCTCCTTTAGGAATTTATCCTAAGAAGATAATGGTGCATGTCTTCAGAAATATTTATTCAAGGATGTTTCTTGTATTGCGGTTTTGTAAAAGCAAAAGGATGGAATGTCTCTAAATGTTCCAGTCGTAGAATGATGGTAACTATGGACAGAGGATCGCTTAGCATGTCTCAGGCAGTGATACCATGGGATCTACATAGAGGGTCAAGTGTAATCTTCAGAGCAAACCCAGGGACACTTGGTATAGGATCCTTGTGGGGGACAGGGGAGAGGAGACTCACAGAGGTTCCGGGTGGTGGAGCTTCCATGAACACAGGGGGTTTTCCCTCAGATCCTTGATGATCCACTTTCACTGGGTTCCTTCCCAGCTGTTGTCACCAGACAGGCCTGGGCCTGAGCAGTTCTGCCTCAGGACAGTCTGTGGTATGTGGTGTGTGGTGTGTGGGTGCTTCACGTCCTCTGGAAAATATTCCAGAACCCAAGTCCAGGGGATTTTGAAAGTACACTCATTAAAGTTGGGACAGTGACTCTAAAGAAGGACTTGGGGTAGAAGAAGTAACTGGGGAGAGCCTAGGTGGGTCTGCTCTGGGTCCTGGGAACGTTACAGGAAAGGACTGAGCCAAGGTGGGGCTGCTGTCAGCTCACTGGAGAGTCAGGGAAAAAGGGGCCTTAAAGTCAGGATGGGGGATAAGCCTGAGGTCAGCTGCCTCTGCCCTCTGATCCCCTGGCTGAAAATACCAAGAGTGCCTTAGAGCTCAGAAGGACAGAAGGAAGTTCATGTCTGACATGGGTATGTGGGTGGGCTCTAGAGCGAGCTGCCCCAGGTCTCTGTCTGGAGGGTTTTTATCTCTCTTCTCAGGGTGAGGAATTTAGGGGAGGGTGTCAGCAGAATATTCATCAGCTTTCAGGGATGTTTTTAATATGTTGCTGCATCAAAATCAGTGCATGGGGGGTTTGGGATCATTCTCTAGTCAATTAGTGTTTTACTTTTGTCTTTGATCTGTCCAGCTGCAAGGCTTTTTGTCTTTTGTGTTTTGTATTGTTATTTTTTCCCCTGACTTCATCTGTTCTTGTGTTATTCTGGCACAAATGCCACTAATTTGGTCTCTGTTGTTTAGTTTCACCCCCATCAGGGTGATTTAATCTATTCAGTCTCTAGAGAGGAAGACAGGTGAAACCATTTGTTCTCAACTGTCCTTGGTCAGGAGAGAGAAGGTCTTCCAACTCACTGGACAGTGTTTAAGTTGTTCAGACACTTTGGCCAACTTTAATGTTCTTTTTATAAAAATATTTTTATTGATTATACTCTTACAGTCATCCCATTTGCCCCCCTTTATTCCCCTCTGCCCTGCACCTGCCCATCCCATTCTTAGTTCCTGTTCATGGATCATACATGTAAGTTTTTGGCTTCTCCATTTCCCATACTATTCTTAACCTCCCCCCCGTTTATTTTGTACCTACCGTTTATGTTTCTTATTTCCTGTACCTTTTCCCCTGTTCTCTTCCCTCTACTTCCCACTGATAACTTTCCATGGGATCTCCCTTTCTGTGATTCTGTTCCTGTTCTAGTTGTTTGTTTAGTTTGTTTTTGTTTTTAAGTTTCGTTGTTAATAGTTGTGAGTTTGTTGTCATTTTACTATTCATAATTTTAACATTTTCTTTTTCTAAGATTAGTCCCTTTGACATTTCATATAATAAGGACTTAGTAACGATGAACTCCTTTAACTTGACCTTATCTGGGAAGCACTGTATTCGTCCTTCCATTCTAAATGAAAGCTTTCCTGCATAGAGTATTCTTGGGTGTGGGTTCTTGCCTTTCATGACCTGAAATACATCTTTCCAGCCCCTTCTTGATTGCAAGATTTCTTTTGAGAAATCAGCTGATAGTCTTATGGGAACTCCTTTGTAGGCTACTGTCTCCTTTTCTTCTTGATGCTTTTAAGATTCTCTCCTTCCCTTTAATCTTGGGTAATGTAATTATGATGTGCCTCTGTGTGTGCTTTCTTGGGTCCAACTCTTTGGGGACTTTCTGTGCATCCTGGACTTCCTGGAAGTGTATTTTCTTTGCCAGACTGAAAAAGTTCTCCTTCATTATGGATTGTCCTCCATCATGGGTTTCAGCTGTAAAACGGAGGGATTAAACATATATGTATATATGTCTTATTACATAATCTCCCTGATAAATATAGTACCCATCTGACACCATTTGTAGTCACACAATATCAGCCTCCTGTCCCTGTGCAGTACTCTACATCAACTAAGAAATGTCCGGGGCTGACACAGGACAACCATCATATTTTCGGTGACTTAGGCTGAAGTTATGAGAGGGACTAAGGAGGGTGAGTGTAGAAGTGGTGATGGGCATAGCAGGGCAATCTCAGAACATCTCTCCATAAATTACTCATTAATGACAATCACTAAATGGTGAATGTATGATGGGGAAACATGGCCAACACCAACCTGGGTGAGTCACCAGGATGAACGTCCCCACTATTCAGACAGGTGGGTGCAGTGTCCAGGACTTGATCCTTCCTCTTCCACAGTCCTGGGTCCCTTGGTGGCCTCATCCACACTCATGGATTTAAAGGTCATTTTTGTAGTATCACCTCCATGTATTCTCCAACTCAGACATTTCTCCTCAAGGTCCCCACACTCATCTGTCCAACCTGACTCCTCACTGGCATTTCTAACACACGTCTCACCTTGACCTTCTCTTCAGCTGAATGCTTGAAATGTCCATCCCTCCCCCACACATACTCCTGACAGAGTCTTCCCCGTCTCTGCTGATATAACCCCATCTTTCTGCTAACACATTACAAATGTGGGGTGCCCTCCTTGACTCCTTTCCCACACCCAGATTGAATCACTAGGAAATGCTGTGAAATCCATCTTGCAAATGCATTCAGTGTCCAGTCCCTTCCCACTCTTTCCACCACTCACAGCCCCGTCAGAACACCCAGCACCTGCAGCCCGGAACCCTGGGAGCTTCCCCACACCTTTCCCTCCTGCCTCCCTGGTCCCTGGTCTCCTGATCTGTTCTTAGTCCAGCAGCAAGACTGACCCTGTGGCCCGAGGGCTCTCTCTTGAGGAGTAACTCTCAGAGGAAGCCACTTAGGACATGGGCTCCTTGACCATGACCTTCCAAGACTCAGCATCTGTAGAATGAGGACAGTGTCTGAAGTAGATTAAAGACAGTGGACGCTGGAACAGTTTCTGCTTTAAGCAGGTGTTCTCACCTTCTGATTGGTCAGCTCTCTGCACCCCACACAGACACCCCTGAGGTCTACATGAGGGGGACCTGGAAGCTTGGGGTGACTCCTAGGCAACAAAGCAGCACTTGGTTAGAATGAAGGAATTCAACCAGCCATAGGCAGAGGTTCCAAAATTCACATTCGATTACATGGGAAGAAACCCTTAACTGCTCATGGAGCACAGGTGGTCACAAGGGACATCACTGGGGAGCCGTGCGGTCTTCCTGTCCCATGGCACACAGTCTGTCCCTCCCGGGTTGTCTCCACGCCTCCTGGTAAGTTTGTGAATGTAAAGTGACTTAGAGCAGCTTAAGAAACAGGGTGAAGGTGTACACAGAATGACACCTACCAGAAACAATACACCTTGGAGCTTTTACTCTACATCATTTTTTATTTATTTATATACATATGATGTTCCAGTGCTAAGTATAGAAACAGCAGAGATCCTTAAAGTCTGAAGGGGAGGCTGCAGTGACTATTTTAGCACCAACTCCTGTAGAAAGCAGCTCTGTCACGCTGGAAGAAAGTTATTGTGAACAAATTCAGGTCAGTCTCAGAAGTGTCACATTCTCCCACAGCCCATGACATGCTCAGAATGTCCCAATGTGAGCATCCCCAAAACACAGCTGTGTCCCTCAGTCCCAATGTCCCCCACTCCTGGCCCTCAGGGTCTCACCCTTAGGAGCTGTGAGAGACACATCAGAGCCCTGGGCACTGTCGCTGCCTGGGGAAGACACAACAGCAGTTACAGGGTGGGGGAGCCCCGCTCACAGACTCCAGCCCACACTCTCCCAAGGGTCCCAGACGTCACCTCCCCAACACCCAGACTTACAGGCAGCCTGAGAGTAGCTCTTCCTGCCTCTGCCTGTGGGAAGAAATTGTTCTGTGAGAAGTCAGGGGGGAGGCTGTGTCTTGAGACCCTAAAGGAGCCCCATATTCTGAAGTACACGGAAGGTTCCAGAAGTGCTACTCAACACTCACATTAGGATCTGGAAACATGAGGGAAGTACATGTGTGCGGACCTGACCTGCCACCACTCTGCACATCTGTCCTCAGCAGGGACCTTTCCCTTTGTCCTGTGACAGCTAGGCATCAGTGCCCATTGTTAGAACCATCAGGTGATAAATCTGTCTCTCACTTTCCCATGGGCCTCACTAAAGAGTCAGTGTTAGGAAACAGGCCCCAGATGGACAAGCACCTGTGTGGGGACACCATGACCATTAACCAGGCAGAGCACACTTCCACCTGGGCTTGACCCCCAGGGGACAGGGAACTCAGCCCCACCCCTTGCCCACCTGAGCACTTCCTCCTCCACATCACAGCTCCAGCAGCCACAGCTCCAATGAGACCTAGGGCAGCAGTGATGCCCACTATGGTCATGGTGGTCTGAGGAGGGGGGTCTGCAAGGGGAAGGTGAGAGGTCAACCTGAGGCCTGAGTCCTGACCCTGCTCAGGGACACCTTGAGGAGAGAGAGGCTCTGTGCCCACGCCCCCTCCTCACCCCATCTCAGGGTCAGGGGCTCAGGCAGCCCCTGGTGCTGCACATGGCATGTGTATCTCTGCTCCTCTCCAGGGGGCACGACCACAGCTGCCCACTTCTGGAAGGTTCCATCCCCCGAAGGCCTGGTCTCCACCAGCTCCATGTCCTGGGTTAGGTCCTCCCCTTCATGCTGCCAGGTCAGGGTGATGTCAGCAGGGTAGAAGCCCAGGGCCCAGCACCTCAGGGTGACCTCATGGTGAGAGATGGGGTGGTGGGTCACGTGTGTCTTTGGAGGGTCTGAGGGGAAGGTGAGAAAATTCAGGGGCTTTGCATGGTCATGGGACACTCCAGCAGTGCTCATGTGACCACCCTGAGAGTGGACAAGACATCCTCGGTGGGGGAAGGAAGTGTACCACCCAGACACCAGCCTGGACAAAGGCATCTGGGATAATGTTCTATTTCCTTGGAAAGTTCTAAACTCAGAGTGAGAACCTAGGGTAGGAGTGTCCAGGTCTCTAAGGGGAGACACAGACTCAGGTGGAGGCTGATGACTCAGCAAACCTGGAGTCAGGTCTCCAGAGAAGGTCTCAGCCCCATAACCAGAAAGAGCATCCTGGTGCCCCAGCTGCTGGGGGGTGTGAGGGAACAGCTGTGGGTGTTTCAGGGAGAGGCTGGGCCCCTTACTGTCCTTTAGAGGAAGCTGGGCCCTGGAGTGAGTCACAGAATGAGGAAAGGGGGAAGCCTCCACCCCCTCCCGAGCAGGAGGGACATTCTGACACTGCCCCATTTCCCTCCTCTCCTTGTAGGAAGCCGCCCCAGCCCACAGATCCCCTCCTGGGGAGGCCCGCGCCCTGGTACCTGCTCGGAGCAGAGTCTCTTTCCCCTTCTCCAGGAACAGGCGGAGCCGCCTTGCGCACCTGTGCTCCAGATAGTCCCTCCAACCCTCCACATCCTCTTGGTGCAACAAATTGCGCAGTATGGTGATCTGGGCGGTCTTGTTGGCTTTGGTTCTGGGACTCAGTTCCAAGTTCAGGGTGAAGGTTTCAGTGCCATCGTAGGCGTAGTGACCGTACCCACGTAGGAAGCGCCCGCCAGACCCCACCACGCAGGCAGAAAGAACCTGGAAGGTGTGAGACCCTGACCGTGCCCTAAAGTCAGCCCTGCTAATTTAGTCCTGCTGAAGGACAGACGTGCCCTGCAACAGGCCAGTGGAGACCCGACCCGTCCCGCGGGGATTAAATGCAAACTGAGTGAAAGTAAGACTGGGTTAGGATGACCGCGGGCTCCTCCCGGGTTGGGCGCAGGGCGGATCCCGCAGCCCTGGGGGGACGTTCAGACCCAGAGACTCCGGAAGACTCCTGCCTCTCAGTGGGGATGGGGTCTGTGCCCGGATCCGGGCGCACGGGGCTCACCGTCCTCGCTCTGGTTGTAGTAGGAGCGCAGGTTGTTCATTTTTGCTCCGGAAAGCTGTCCGCAGTAGTGGCAGAGCCGCGTCTGCTCCTCCCAAAACTCCGGATCCTCCTGCTGCACCCACGGCTGCTCCTTCCACAGCAACCCCGGCTTCGCCCTTGGGTGCGGGAGGTCGCTGTCGAACCGCATGACCTCCGTGTCGTCCAAGTAGGCGACCTTGATGTACTGGGACTTCCCAAGTCTGGACATTAAGGTGCCGAAATATCTCAGGGTGTGTGGGCCTGGGGACACGGAGGACGCGCGTCTTGAGTGTGAGGTGGGGGTGGTAGCGTATCTTGAGCATGAGGTGGCGGGGCAGCACCTGACCGCCCGGGACACAGCTAAGGATTCGGTGGTTGAGAAGAGGGGTGAGGGCGGGAGGAGGGGAGGATACAGGCTGGGGTCCGGGGTCCGGCGTCCGGGGAAGAGCATGTTTATCCCAGGGTTCTGCGCCCCCGCCGGGTCCCCTCCCTCCTGCCCCACAGAGGCCCTTCCCTCCCGACCCCACACTCACCTGCCCATGTCTCCGTCAGGGCCAGGGCCCCGGAGAGCAGGAGGAGTAGGGGTCCGGGCCCCATTGCCCAGACCCTGAGTCTAAGGAGAAAGAACTCGCGTAGTAAGGAAGGACTGTATACTCCCAACCACGGTGACGCTGATTGGCTCGTGTCGAGTTGGGACACACAAACCAGAATCGCAGCAGAAAGTCAGAAGTATCCAGGCAGAAGGACCCTCTGAGAAGGAGAAGGGAAACCCGAGAGAGAAGGGCGCACCCCAACCCTGAGAGTTCCCGCCCCAGACTCGGTCCTCGGGCTGAGACCCTGGGAACCAGGCTTGGGGACCCAGGACTCGGCCCCGACCCCTCCTCCTCCTGCACTGAGAACTCTGTCCAGCTGTCTCCCTGAGTCCCCGCCTATGGGCTGTTCTAGTCAGCGACCCTCAAACATTTTGGTGTCAGAACTTCATACAGTCTTACAAACTACACTGAATTCCCCCAAATAACTTTGTGTGGGTTATAACTATCAATATTTACCATGGAAGAAATAAAACAGTTTGCAAACATTTCTTTATTTGGAAAATATTAATAACCAATGATATGTTAAGAGAAACAATATTTTTATGAAAAATAACTATTCCAGAAATGAATGAGGTAGTACAAAGTGTGGATCGCCTTACATTTGATTTTTGCAAGTCTCAGTTCTTGTCTGTATAATTAGAAGTTGGCTGGAATTTCATATTTGCTTCTGTGTTTAATCTGTTATTTTGGTTGCAGTATATGAAGAAGTATACAGCCTCACACAAATATTCTGGGGGAGCATTTTTAATAACCTTTTCAGAGAAGTGTGGGTATTCAGCTTTGACCGTTCACTAAAGCCACACAAGTGGTAGTTCCTGAAAAGCTCTTTGCAAAGAGGAACCTGAAACTACACCATTGAGTGTTTCCTATTCTGTTACATGACTTCAGTGGCTCTTGTACTGATGCAGGATTATTGGAAAGTGATGCATTGCTTCACTAATAATAGAGATCTCCCAGTGTTTGTGCATTTACTGAGACATCATCAAAAATCTCACTTGTTAATGTTACCGCAGACCCCACTGGCAACAGTCATCAGCTCTGGGAAGCTGTCTGGCTGCCCTGGGGAGACACACGTTTGCCAAAATCCTGGGTTTCCTCTGAGAGCTTCCACTCCATCCAGACAACAAGTGCTGTCAGGTGTCCACTGATTGTTGACTTTCCTTGAGGGAGAAGCTCATGTTCATTTGAGAGTGTTCGCCAGTTCACCACACCTCAGTCATCACAGGTTCTGTGTCTCTCATTCTCTGAAGTGAACTTGCTGTTCCTTAAAGAAGAGGCTGACTCAGTCCTCACAGGTCACTTTCCTGGGCTGATGCTACTTGGGAATGTAGCAGGAGTGTATTTGTGCACTTTCCTGGTCATCTTGTGAGATATTTTGCTTTTTGTTCCCCGTTTTCATTAAGGGCAGTTAAGAAATTAATCCATTTGTATCATGAATTCAAGACATACTTATCTTCTTTTTAAATGTCTTTTATTTTTCAATTACAATTGATGATCAATATTAGTTTCTATACAACTCTTCTGCCTTCATTTGTCTGTGAGGGTCTTGCATACATTCTCAAAACACAGCAGACCCACAAAAGATTAGTTAATATCAACTGAACAATGTGATGTAAGGCCTTAAGGTTGTAAATGATAAAAAATGCTCCTCACTGGAGTTGGTCCTTGTGCACATCACATTGGGACCCTTGGTGTTATTTCTGTGAACCTGGAGACATCAGCAGACACACACGTATGTATTAACTCAAGAAATAAATATGTGTGAGCACAACACACACCACATTCCCGCAGGCCCCGTATGTGATTAAAAAGATGTAAAGAGGGAGATGTGAACTTTGGAGTTCCAAGGTAGATTTCTTTCCAATTTGTCTCCTCCCTCTTTTCCCCAGAATTCAAGCAATTCTGTTCCCTTAACGCTTGGATGCCTTTTCCCTAGATCAAAATATGTATGAAGTTTTTACAATTGTGGAATGAAAAATTCTCTAAGACCAAAAGATGAAAAGCTGTAAAGCAGAACATAAAACTTTCCTACATGAACCACACACTTCATAGATACAAATTCAAGCCCACAACCAAACTCAAAGACACATAAAAATGTTGACAGAGGAAGGTAACGTGTGTCCCTGTTCTTCCACCAAAGACCCCAAGGAGCGCCTGGGGCTGTGTGCATCACTGCTGCGGGGGGGGCACACCCCAGGGCGTGGGGAACTTGGAGGGATGGAGTGAGACAAGACATGACCAGAACAGGGCCTTTGGACGGCAGTCTCAGGAGGATCTGTTTGTGGGCGCAGGGGCCCCTCTAGACTGTGTTCTTGAGACATGGGTGCAAGTCTGTGACTGGACACCTCAGGAAACACCTCAGGACATGGCATAAGGGAGCGAGGGTGAGGGGTGATAGGAAAGACGCAACCTTCCCTTTTGTTTGCAGGCCTGGGAGCTGCTTGGTAGCTTGTGAGCTGCACTGGGTCTTGTTTCTGTCTGTGCTGAGACAACACGCAGTGTGGTGTTGGTCTGTCTCACGTCGCTATGGTGTCAGATGTCCTTGCCTGATGCTGATGATCTGTGAGAGCAGAAATTCTAACCATCTGTTTGGCAAAGATGAAGGAACATGATGAGCATATCAACCTGAGGGTGGGGACCACATTCTGTTTTAAAGGTTGAAGGGATTGAAAACTGGGACAACAGTTCTGAAGGATGCTTTTGTAAAAGGTCTCAGCAATTTAAATGTGCTGACCTTTTTTTAAATTTATTTTTTATTGATTATGCTGTTACAGTTGTTCTATTCCCCCCTTCATTCCCCTCCACCCTACCCCCCCGGCCACACCATTACCTCCCCTTTAGTTTATGACCATGTGTCTCAAGTTCTTTAGAGTCTATATTTCCCATACTATTCTTGCCCCCCCCATCAATTTTCTACTGTCTATGCCACCTATTTTTTGTACCTTCTCCCCCCTTCTCCTCCTCCCACTCCTCTGTTGCTAACCCTCCTTGAGATCTTCATTTCTATCTTTCCACTCCTGATCTAGCTGTCCTTTTAGTTTGTTTTTGTTTTAGGTGTGGTTGTTAATAACTGTGAGTTTGCTGTCCTTTCACTGTTCATGTTTTTTTAACTTCTTTTTCTTAGATAAGTCCCTTTAACATTTCATATGATAAGGGCTTGGTGATGATGAACTCCTTGAATTTGACCTTATCTGAGAGCACCTTATCTGTCCTTCCATTCTAAATGAAAGTTTTGCTGGATAGAGCAATCTTGGTTGTAGGTCTTTGGATTTCATGACTTGGAATACCTCTTTCCAGCCCCTTCTTGCCTATAAGGTCTCTTTTGAGAAATCTGCTGACAGTCTGATGGGCACTCCTTTGTAGGTGACTGTCCCCTTAGCTCTCGCTGCTTCTAGGATTCTCTCCTTCATTTTAATCTTGGCTAATGTAATGATGATGTGCCTTGGTGTGTTCCTTCTTGGGTCCAACTTCTTTGGGATTCTCTGAGCTTCCTGGATTTCCTGGAAGTCTATTTCCTTTGCCAGATTGTGGAAATTCTCCTTTATTATTTGTTCAAATAAGTTTTCAACTGGTGGCTGTTCCTTTCCCCCTTCTGGTACCCCTATAATTTGGATGTTGGAGCGTTTAAAGATGTCCTGGAGGTTCCTAAGCCTCTCCTCATTTTTTTGAATTCTTGTTTCTTCATGTTTTCCTGTTTGGCCATTATTTGCTTTCTTCTGGTCCACTCCATTGATTTGAGTCCCAGTTTCCTTTTCATCACTATTGGTTTCCTGTGCAATTCCATTCATTTCAATTAGTTTCGCCTTCATATGTTTGTCTAATTTGTGGCTATAATCAACCAGTTCTGTGAGGATCCTGATCACCAGTGTTTTAAACTGTGTGTCTGAGTTTTGCTATTTCTTCATCACTTAGATTTATAGGCTCTGGGGCTTTGAGATCTTCTTGAGCCATTTTTGGTCTGTTCTCACCCGTTAAGTATGAGTAGCGGAGCCTTGGACTCTCAGGTCGCTGGGTTGTGACGCAGTATGTGGGGGTGTGGTCAGAGCGGGGAAATGGCGACCTCCTCTGCTGTTTAACGCCGCTGGGTGAGGAGCAGAACCCTAGGTGGTTCACCAGGGTGGGGCCACTCAGATGGCTGGGCTATGATGCTGTATGTGGAGGCGGGGTCAGAGCGGGGAAATAGCGGCACCCTGTGCGTCACTAGCCGTGGGGCCTGCTCAGTCTTGTAGTCTCATCGCCCACTCCCTTGCTTGTCTATCTGTGCAGGAAAGCGCGACCACAGTCAACCGGCAGCCCTGCTCCCTCGCTGTTCCCCCATAGTCGCTCGATGAGTTGCTTACTAGGTCCAACCATGCGCCTGGCTTCCGCACGCCCGAGTCCGTCTGACCGCCAGAGTCCGTCTGACCGAGTTTTTCTGTGCGAGCCCGCTCCGACAGCTGCTGGTTTTGCCCCTCTTACCAGTCAGGCTGAAAAATTTGTTGTTATCAGACTTCTGGAAGTTCAATTTTCTGTGTTCTGGCTGTGTTTTCTGTTGCTAGTATTTAGTTGTCTTTAAACTTGGTTGTGAGAGAAGGCACAGCGTTTCCACCTATGCCTCCATCTTGGCGCAAGTCTTGCAAGTATTTTCAATCGATGCTTTTAGACTTTATTTCCTATGGCTGGGGCCCTGGGTTGTGTGGTTTGTCTCACTGCCCATTTTTTGCCTGGTTTATCTTTGTGTGAATGTGTGACCTTGGTCAGCCAGTCGCCTTACTTGTCTCACTGGGTTTGCTCGTTTCCTCCCCATGCCTGGGTCTGCCAGCTGCCTCCTTTTCTTGCCTGGACCCCTCTCCAATGGCCGCCGACTCCTCCCTTCTTATTGGTCTGGATGAATGGTTTGTTGTTGTAGGACTTCGGTACAATTTTCTGGCTGTTCTGGTTGTGTCTTTGTTTCTAAATCTTTGTTGTCCTTAAATTTGGTTGCATGAGGAGGTACAGTATTTCCACCTACACCTCCATCTTCGCCGGAAGTCCTCTTTTTATTTTTTTAATACTTGCCTGAGGAC